GGGGGGGGGGGGGGGGGGGGGTCCTTAATTCCTTAATAAATTAATGTTATGACTTCAAATTATGCGCGCTTATATAATCCATCCGAAAAATACTACAAGTACATAATAAATGTAAATAGAGATGTACATAACATTCAATGGAGTGAGGTCCACTTAATTTTTTATTTTTGGTGGGTCCCACTCAATGTGAGCGTTATGTACACTCTTATGTACACTATTATGTACCTATAGCATTACTCAATCCACGATACACCAATCTTATACAAGCTTTAGTGAGTAGTGAATTCAGAGATTCATATTAATTGCCCGTGGAAAGACAAACTTACCCCCATTTATAAATGTGATGTTGAATTTGACTCTATTATTCTTTTTAATGTTTCAGCCTATGTCTTATCATTTGTTCATCACATATTCTCTCCACTTGATACAAAATAGTCCTGATTTTTACTTCAAATGACTATTTTTTAGAATACGATAAGGAATGACTGTTATAACCTTTAAAGAGGAAAATGTGTTTCATGTTCAATCCGAACGGAAGAAGATCGATTTTGCCCAATTTCTTCGTTCGATTAAAACAAGAAGCGAAGATAGTCATGTATATAAAAAAAAAAAAAAAAAAAACATAAGCTCCAGAGAATCTTGTAAGTTAGGCTTCACTCGATATGGCCTGGCCGCAGACAAAGGGTTTTTATATATATGACCATTTTATGTACTAACTATACATCAAAGGACATTCAGACAAAATGGTCATATTTCATAGGCAAGTTAAAACCATCTCCGGGCCAGGGACGACAGAAATTATCGACGGTCACTACGTGATTAGCACGTGGGTCACCACGTGACACATAGGCTGCATCCCATGCGCAATCTAGGTAAGTAACAAAAGGAATAGGTGAGTTATATGTGGTTATCTAATCCTATTAATCCTAGTAAAAGAGGCCTTATAGCAGGTTAATGTTGGAGAGTTCGATCCTACATCAACCGTAACATTTAGAACAAACATTAAATAGGTATACATAGGTTTTTTCATGTGCTCATAGCAATAGGGTGCACTCAGAATTTTTAGCATACACACAAAATTTTGTAATCACATACTACATTGTTCTTAGGACTTTAGATTGTTAAGAAAGAAGAAATATTTTGATTGATATAATTGATGATGCCATGCATCATAAGATACCTCTTCACATGATCCACAAGACCACAGCAAAAATGTTATCCCACATTGTAATTAACTTTTGTCAGCCCTTTCTTTGTCCGAATTTGAGAAACCTGAACATCAGAAAAATGTTATATATAAATAATGTAATTAGAAAAAAAAAAAAAAAA